CCCCTCTGCCAGCAACGTCTCAGATGAGTCGAAGGAAGCTGGTGAATGGATGGGGATTACTGAGGTGGTGGGCACTCCACTGTTGCTGAGGTTGAGGTGGTCTATATGGCATGAAGCTTAACCCAACTGGCAGGCAGACTTGGCAGTCCTAGAGAAGCCCAGCTGTCTCACAGATGTGACAAATTGGGCACTGGTGTATGAGAAGCCATTGGCCAGAACCAGTGGTGAGAGCTGCCACTATAAACAATGGGCACCAGAGCGACTGTTCCTGAGGGTGGGTACCACGGCTGGGCTGGTCAAAGCTGGCACTGCCTGGACTGCAGTAGGTGCTCAACACCTGGTTCTTGAGTCAATGGATAAAAGAGTGAATGTGGGAGGCCTGTGACATTCACGTCTTTCCGCCGGTTTTCCTGGCGGTGCTTATGCTGTGTGCTCAGGCCAGGAATCTCCCGACAGACGGGAGAGGGGCCGACAGGAGGAGAAAGCTTGTTTTCTGGTCATGCCAACTTTGAATCATTTATTGGCAATTCCCCCCACCCCCACCCCCCGAGTGCCATATCCAGTAGAGAGGTGACATCTGTTTGCGAGACTGTGTCCCTGGGAGGCTGCCAGAGAATTCTTCCACTCTGAAACCTTCCACGCCAGAGAGTCATCCTCCCACGCGACCTGCCGGGTTCCCTGGGTGTGGTAGGTGGGCCTCTGCTAAGGGACCGCAGGACTGGGCACCAGGCGTGGAGAGACAGATGCTCCAGCGTCTCGGGTGGAAGAACATGGGAATCGGCACTTCGGTGGGGAGCCTGCCCCACCTGCAGGGCCCCCATGGCCTTTTTTACCTGGCTCCCAGGTAAGGTTCCCGCTGTCAGCAGAATGTGCAGCCAGAGCCTTGGACCTTCCAGGTGGCCCTGACTGACCAGTGGGGGCTGCCAGGGGTGTCCCTGTGTCCATGTCCCAGGAAGGATGTCACAGATGTGTCATCAGGAAGAGTGGAGCTGGGCTGGGGGGTGGCAGGTGGAAGCTGGAGATGGTTCGGGGGTGGGGTTG